GAGCAAGCAATGGCAGAACTGACCGACAGAGCTTAGAGAGCAGGTCAAAACCCTAATCCGCCCACCAGCACGCAACATACCATAGCGCACCAGGTCGCCGCATCGCCAACGCGCGCGCAGTGCTTCTTCGTGCGCGATGGGCAACTTTACAACCAACGTGCCTCAAAGAGCCCAAAGCCACCCTTGCGCTTGCCCGCGGAGATTTCACGGAAAGGCCCGCGTGCATTCAATATGTTTTTCCTTGCCTGGTTGTAAAGTGCCCTTCCTGGTTGTAAAGTGCCCTTCTCGGATGTTGTAAGTTGGTTGTAGAGCGACCCATCTGGTTGTAAAGTGCGCTTCTGGTTATAAAGTGACCCATGCGCCGGACGTGGACTGCGCGGCGCTGGCTTGGACCCAGGGTGCCATGCTGCGGCCGCGTCGCGGCCCTCAAGGTCGAGGCTTCGACGGCCCTCCCCCCACCACGTGAGCCCAGCAACGCGAGCTTGGATTGCGAGCCCCGTGCCGGGGCACTGCCGCGGCCCTCGGGGCAGGGCCCCGATTCTCCATCGACGCGCTTCCCGCGCAGCTGGCCTGGATCATGGGGCCCATGTCTGAAGACGAGGCCACGTTGATGCCCTCCAGCCACGTCCCCGACATCCCTCCCACGTGCATTTTGCAACGCAGGCTTGGATGTTCAGGCCCGCGTTGAAGCCCTCAGGCCCTGGCCCCAACGTCCCCCGACTTGATTCCAGCAGCGCCGGCATGGATCTTGAGGCCACTTTAAGGCCATGGTGCGACGCTCAGGGCAGGGCCTCAAACCGCAGTTCTGGGGTCCAACGGCCGCACGACGTGTCTCCCGCACGGCAGGCTTGGACGCTGGGCCCCATGTTGAGGCCACGTTGGGGCCCTCGGGCCAGGGCCGCAACGTCCTCCCGACGCGCGCTCCGCATGGCAGGCTTGGATGATGGGCCCATGTTGAGGCACTGGCGCCTTAGGTTCTTGCAAGATTCAGGGTGCGCATGCGGCCCTCAATGCGCGCCCTGCGCGGTGGTCCACGGTGGAGGTTTGGCGGACATGGCCTACTGCGACGCGCCAATATCAGAGTCCGGCCCCCGCCCCGAAAGCCGACCCCCCGCGAGGCGACGGACAAGCGCCAGGTCGCAATCGCGCAAGATGACGACGGCGCGGCGGGCAGACAGCCCGCGTGGAACGATTTCATGGAACGCGTGAATTTTGATCTGGAGAACGGCTGGCCAGCCGGTTTTCCTATTCCAGCTTCGCATGTCCGTTCCCGAGTGGAAGATCTCGGGCCAGGGACTCGACATTCCCTGGAAGTGGTTCCCCACCGAGGCGAGCTTGGGTTCTCGCGCATGTTTTCGCCATGTTGGGGCCGCGTGGAGGCCCGCTGGTTGAGGCCTCAATATCCACCCGACGTGGTTCCCCCATTGCAGGCGTGGACATCCGGCGCATGTCGACGCCATGCCGAGGCCGCGTTGAGGCCCTCAGGTCAGGGCATCGACACACGCACCCCGGCGTGAATCTGCGCCACGCAAGCCTGGATTACGCGGCCCATGCTGAGGCCGCGTCGGGGGCCCCAGGTCAGGGCCTCAACGTCCCTCGACGTGAGTCCATCAACGCAGGCTCGGGTATTGAGGCCCACGTTGAAGCCATTCTAGGGCCATGGTGAGGCCCTCCAGTCAGGGCCTCAACCCTCCGGACGGGGCCTCGACATCCTGCCGACGTGTTTCCCGCGCTGCAGGCTTGGGCGATGGGGGCGCACGTTGAGGCCCTGCTGATTGGCTGCTATGATATTTAACACGTGCGCACGCGGGTCTCGACACGCGCCTCGCATGGTCCCCCGAGCGGGGGGCCTGGCGGACATGCCCCACTGCGTCGCCCCAGTATTATAGCCCAGCTCCTTTTCCCAAAGTCGGACCCCCGCGAGGTGACGGACACTGACGAGTCTCAATCGCGCAAGATGACGACGGCGCGGTGGGCAGACAGCCCGCATCGAACGATCCCACTGAACATGCGAAGCTGAATTTGGGGAACTGTTGGCCAGCCGTTGTTCTAGTTCCCGTTCCACTTCAAAAGTTTGTTCTGCCCAAGCGGAAGCCCTCGGGCCAGGGCCTCAACATACCCCAGAAGTCATTCGCTCGGCAAGTTTGGTCTCGCGCATCTTTCGGCCATGTCGAGGTCGCGCCGAGGTCCTCAGGCCATGGCCTCAGCATCCGTCCGACGTGATTCCCGCATTACAGACTCGGATGTCTGGCGCATGTCGAAACCATGTCGAGGCAACCTTCCGGCCCTCGGGTCAGGCTCCCCTCCCGCGACGTGAATTTCGCAACGCAGGCTTGGATTCTGGGGCTGAGGCCGCGTTGAGGCCTTCAGGTCAGGGCCCCAACGCCACCGCCGACCCATCTCATCCCCCTCCGCCCGTCGTGGATCTCGCAGCGCAGGCGTGGATTCTGCGGCCCATGTCGAGGCCGCGTAAGGGGGCCCCAGGTCAGGGCCCCAGCGCCCCTCGACTCGAGTCCAGACACGCAGGTTTGGATGGTTTGGCCCGTGCTGAGGCCATGTCGAGGCTCTGGGGCAGGGCGCGAACATCCCGCTGATGCGCTTCGCGCACGGCACGCCTGGATTATGGGGTCCATTTAGATGCCCATGGCGCGGCGGACTTCCTCGACGCTGCGAACTATATGTTTGCCAGAACTCTGCTAAGTGGGCTTTAGCAAACTGAGACGAAGTCACTTACGACGTGGTACTTAGCCGACCAGCTATTGAGTGCTTACCGGACAAAGCTCAGTAGTTATCAAATGGTTAGCGGACTGTTAAGTGATGTACAAGTGGGTTATACGTGATGTAGCTGGTCTTTTTTTACCCTACTGAGCCAGGGATTCGTCAGTCGTTAGCAAATCCGCAAACCCTTGATGTCAATTCCGCGAAGCCTATCATAACGAGTGGCAAGTTGGTTTGGATGGGGACAGAAGATGGTACTTCGCATGCTTGGATTCGGTGCCTATGCCTTCTTTACTGTTCACGAATGTGAAAGTAAGACGTGCCAGCTTAGTGCCACCGCATGACATATGTAGCGGGTAGCGGTCTCTGGGTGAGGTTTCCGAGTTGTGTCGCATATCGTTTTCTATTGCATGCCAGTTTGTTGTAGAGTTCAATTGTTATTCCGTTGAAGCGGAATGCCAATCTCAGCTCTTGAGTTCAGTATGGCAGCGTTGTGTCTCAGGTCTTGCATTCGCGCTGCAGCACTCTAGACTTGAACATGACTGTTCTGCTGCTGTAGCGCCGCGTTCCCAAACACTTGCGGGATGCAGAAGGTTTACACAAGAGCCCCAAAAGCCCCGCGGGAATTCAGACACGGAGAGCCAGGGGGTGCGGCGCAGATGCCAGGGGAACCAAGCCACACGGAATTGGGGCACACAGGAGGATTTTCAAAACCCCACGGGCCCTCCGCGCCATCCTCACACAAGTTGGAGTCATAGCATTGTGATTGATGTACGTGCGCATGCATATGTATTTGTGTATTTTTATGTACACATGCACCCAGCAATCTCAAGTGTCAAAGGAGGCGTGTATTTCCATTTTTTCGAACGGTGGAGATGTCCGCGCTCGCTTTGAGGCCCCTTTGCCTTCCCCCCCTCTTAGGTTTTTGGGGCGGCGTTCGTCGGCGACGGAGACGCGACGAAACTGAGAGTCCGCCACCCGTGTGCGTTCGCCCACGCCCACTTTTGAAGTGCAAGGACGTTGCCTGTTTCCTTCGCCTGGTCGTCGCGAGGTCGGTCGTGGAGGTGTTTTCGTCGTCGCTCTTCTGCTCGGGTCAGGTCGCTTTCGCTCCTGGAAGGAACCGGTAGGCCCTCTTCGGAATGCGCGCAGCAGGGCTCGTTCTCCTGCAGCGGGGCCTTCTCTTCGGCGTTCCTTCTCAGGCCCAGGCCACTGCCAGCGCGGGGTTTGCGTCTATACTTTCGCAGAATTGTCAGCTGCCCAGCTCCGTTCGCTTCCGCGGCCGTCGCCTCGATCGGTCTTCAACGCTGTTAACCTTAACCTTTACTGTTCGATCTTCGGCGTTGAAAGATGTTTCCCGTTTTCGAGGATAGAGTTGGTTGTTAAGCAAGGTTCTTTGCATGGGTGAGTGGGGACACGAAATTCGCAGCTAAAACAGCTGTTCCCATGGCAATCGCGATTATTCCGAGATTGTTATCATTCAAGGGAGGAAAACCACCCGGACCCGACAATTGACGTTCACTAAACGGCTTTGGTCATTTATTAGACAGCTCTGCCCGGTTCGATTCCTTCCTTGGGTGCGTTTACTAGATGGCTTCGCTTGTCGGGGTGATTATTGTGGGGGGGGATTTCCTGCCTTCTAATCAGAACCCCATAGTCGCCTGACATAATCCCCTCTAGGCCTCCCAAATTCGGAAACAAACTGTGTGAACAAACTCTGCACGCTCCGCGCGGATTTCTCGGATCTGCACCGGGGGCCCCCCTGGCAGCCCGTCCGCCACCGCCCCTGTGGCGCGCTCCACGCGCCAGAGGCAGGGGGCGCCCAGCGCCGATCCGAGCAGTCCGCGCGGACCTCCGACATTTGATGCTCATGTGGTTTTTTCTTCCTTTGCAAATCCTCCTCCTCCTCCTCCTCCTCCTCCTCCTCCTCCTCCTCCTCCCTCCTCCTCCTCCTCCTCCTCCTCCTCCTCCTCCCTCCTCCTCCCTCCTCCTCCCTCCTCCTCCCTCCTCCTCCCTCCTCCTCCCTCCTCCTCCTCCTCCTCCTCCTCCTCCTCCTCCTGCTCCACTGGCGGTCCGGGAAGGTGGGGTCGGAAAATCGCGCCGCATCGGCGGTGCGGTTCGATGGGGGGTTTGGCGTTCTCCATGCCGACGGCGCCGATGCCTCCCCGATCTCGCGCATCGCCAACGCATCGGCGAGACCAGCCTGATCCTCCGACCTCATTTCGTCGGACCCCATTTGGGAGGCCCCCAGTGGTTGTTCCCTGTCTTTGCTGATGCTCTTCGAGCCGCCGCCGCCGCTCTTTCACTTCCCCGCTCTCCAAGCTGATAGCCTGCCTCGCTGGGCTCAGATGGTGCCCACGTCGCAACGTTGCGGCTTTCTCAGGATATGATTTTGTCGCTGGTGGCCAGGGCACCAGCTCTCTGCGCCACTATCGGGCCTCACGCACATACGGGGCGTGAGGCGTCAAGGCACGACATCGGAAGATGGCGCGCATCATGAAATTATGTCGTAGTTATTTTCGGCGTCAGGGTCTGTGTCTCCCCTGGCCTCCTCGCAGGGAGCCTGGCCGCTTTTTAGGGGAGACGCTGGCTCGTGCCAGGTGGACGAGAGAGAGGCAGAGAGAGCGCGCGCGAGAGAAGAGTAACAAAAACATGTAGAGGTCCAGAGAGAGGGAATGGGAAACGGAAATAGAGAGGGAGACAGAGAAAGAAAGAGAGAGAGAGAGAGAAACAAAACAAAATAACAAAGCAACTAAGGAGAGAGAGAGAGAGAGAGAGAAAGAGAGAGAGAGGGAGAAAGAGAGGCAGAGAGGCAGAGAGAGAGAGAGGCAGGGAGAGATGGAGAGAGAGAGAGAAGGATATTGAAAAGGATGTAGGTAGACAGGGAGGGAGACAGAGAGCCCGCGACCCACCCCGCAACCCACCCGCGACGCACCCGCGACCCACCCGCGACGCACCCCGCGACCCGCCCGCGACCCACCCCGAGACCCCCCTGGCGACCCACCCGCGACCCACCCGCGACCCACCTGCGACCCACCGCGACCCACCCGCGACCCACCCGCGACCCACCCCGCGACCCACCCAACATTTTCGGCGCCTGCGGCGGCCTTCTTTTGCATTCGTTCCAGGTGGAGAACCTGCGACCCACCCGCGACCCAAACCGCGTTCAGTGTACAAATAAATTTTTTCGGCGCCTGCGGCGGGCTGTTTTTGAATTCCTTCCAGGTGGAAGTGGAGAGCCCGCGACCCACCCACGACCCAAACCACGTTCATTGAACCAGCCGAAATTTCGGCGCCTGCGGCGGGTTTCTTTTGCATCGGCGACCCACTGGCAACCCACCCCGAGACCCACCCGCGACCCACCCCGCGACCGCGACCACCCGCGACCGCGACCCCGCGACCCACCCCGCGACCCACCCGCGACCCACCCGCGACCCACCCCGCGACCCACCCAAAATTTTCGGCGCCTGCGGCGGCCTTCTTTTGCATTCGTCCCAGATGGAGAACCTGCGACCCACCCGCGACCCAAACCGCGTTCAGTGTACAAATAATTTTTTTCGGCGCCTGCGGCGGGCTGTTTTTGAATTCCTTCCAGGTGGCAGGTGGAGGTGGAGAGCCCGCGGCCCACCCGCGACCCAAACTGCGTTAACTGAACAAGCCGAAATTTCGGCTCTTGCGGCGGGTTTCTGTTGCATTCGTTCCAGGTGGAGAACCTGCGACCCAAACCGCGTTCAGTGTACAAATCTATGTTGTCGGCGCCTGCGGGGCTTGAGGCCCAAAAGTGGACCCAGAAGGAGGGAGGAGGGGGAGGAGGAGGAGGACGACGACGACGGAAAGGAGGAGGAGGGGGGAGGATCGGGATGGGAGAGGAAGAGGAGGAGGAGGAGGAGGAGGAGGAGGAAAAGGAGGAGGAAAAGGAGACACTGGAGAAGGAGGAGGAGGAGGACGACGACGACGACGACGATGACGATGAGGACGAGGACGCGGACGAGGAAGAGGAGGAGGAGGAGGAAGGAGGAGGAGGAGCAGCAGCAGGAGGAGGAGGAGGAGGGCGCCATCGACAGGGAAGGTGAGGGCCACGAGGTCCGCCGGCTCGACGCCCGCGTCGCCCGCGCCCGCCCCCTCACTCTTATCCGCAATTGCGGGGTGCTACGTATATAGTCATGTATATCTAGACATACGTACATACACATCACCCTATATGACATGAATCCTTGGCCTCCGCCGTCTCCCTGGACGTCGCCCTCGATCTTCCCTTCCGCCCAGACCCCCGCCCCGATATCCTCGACCCTCGCCCTTCTCCACTCCGATCCGATCTGGTCCGGCTCGAAGACGATCTTGCCAGCTCGCTCAAATCCAGTTCCGATGACCATTCCGACGATCCGATGCGGCCCGATGCTTACGTGGCGCCGTCGTGCAGCCTGGCGCAGCCGAGCCAATTCAAGTCCGACCGCCGCGCCGCTGCGGCCCGATTCGATATGCTTGCTCCGATCCGGCTCGATGGTCGCCGCAGGTCGCCGATCGGTCGTCCTCGAAGTGCTGCCGATCGATCGAAGATCGACCTCGAAGATCGGAGATCGATCAGATCGACCTGGGGTTGAATCTCGATCGATCGAGGATCTAGATCTGTCGATCTCGATTACTCGAAGAGCGTTCGATCGAAGATGGGTTCGAGGAGCGGTCGTGGTCGGTCGTCGATCTATCGAGGATCGATGACGGATCGGTCGGTCGAGACTTGAGGAATTGTTCTGCAGCTTTGGGGGGCGCTGTCTGTCCTGTGAAATGGTGTGGCTTTCCTGGATGCGGCGTGGGTTCGACGCGGGTTCGGCGCGGATCCAACATTCAGCGTGGATTCGGCACGGATGCGACACAGATAGTGGCACGATAGGGCAGTGAAGGTCCCCCGAAGGTGCCTCACAGGAGGAGGCGTTTGTCTCATTCACGACTTTTTTGGTGGCTCCGCTTCGGACCCCCGGGGGGCGTCGGGCATGGATCCGGGAAGACGAAGCTACCTAGGATGGACTCCAGGAGGCAACTCCGTCGTCGTCGCCGCCGCTCAGGGGCGCCGATAAGGGGGGGGGCTCAGTGGAGGAAAAGATACCGATACAGCTGCTCATCCTGAGGAGCTCTCGTCACCACGGCTGGATTCATCCTCTGGGAGCCACGACCCGCTGAATCTCGCCTCGTTGGTGTTCGCCGAGATTCTGTCTGCGCGTGCAGGCTAGAGTAGGCGTTACCGAGGTCAAACCCAACAAACCCAGTCTCGAAAGTGCACAGTTTTTCTGTGGGTTGAAGACGATGACGGACGCAGTCGCCCCTGACCTCAGGTGCTTCGCAGCGAAGGAGGCTTGCGACGATGCTGAGGTCGAACAGCAGCAGCAGATATTGAGGGAGCTCCGAGTCGGACATGGCGGCAAGGCAGGCAGTAATATTCGTCGCGGTCGGAAGTGATAACCAACTGTAATTACAGAGGATTGTGGCTTCGGGAGCGCGGGAGCGCGACCCCTGTTGACAAAATGGTCCCATCTGATGCGCGCCCCCTCCAAATTGCGGTTTCGATTTTGTGACTTGCGAGTCTTTCCCCCCTGGGGCTGTCGTAAGCTAGCCTGTTCCTCCACCACCCCGTCCTCTTCTTCCACCTCCTCCGCCTTCCCTTCCTCCCCCACCCCGTCCTACCGTCGTCGTCGTCGACGCCGCCGCCGTCGTCGCCGTCGTCGTCGCCGTCGTCGTCGTCGTCGTCGTCGTTGGCGTCGCTGGCCTCATGCTCCTCGTCCTCGTCCGCCTCCGTATCCTCGTCCTCTTCCTCCGAAACCTCGTCCTCCTCCTGCCCCACCTCCCCATCTCATCCGTCCTGCCACCGAGCTCGGCACGCTCTCGTCGGAGTCTGCCTTTATTTTTCCGACGCTGCTCTTCTTCTCCTCCTCCTCCTCCGCCTCCCTCCTCCTCCCTCCGCTCCTCCCTCCCTCCTCTCCCTCCCGCCTCCTCCCTCCTCTCCTCCTCCTCCTCCTCATCCTCCGCCTCCCTCCTCATCCCTCCTCCTCTCCTCTCCTCTCCTCCTCCTCCTCCTCCTCCTCCTCTCCTCTGGGGGTGCCGGGCGGGCGGGGCGGCCGAGATAGGAGGAATAATTGGGGCCTTCAGGAGTGTTCCTCGGCAGCCACGGGGAGGAACAAAAGGAGAATGATGTCTGGGCGATTGAAGAGAGGATTGAGGAGGAGGATGGAGGAGGAGACGTAGGAGGGGAGGAGGAGGAGGAGGAGGAGGAGGGCAAGGATGGAGGAGGAGGAGGAGGAGGAGGAGGAGGAGGAGGAGGAAGAGGAAGAGGACAAGGATGGAGGAGGAGGAGGAGGAGGAGGACACGGATGGAGAAGGAGGAGGAGGAGGAGGAGGAGCAGGAGCAGGAGCAGTAGCAGGAACAGGGAGTTTGAGGATGAGGATAGTGGGGGAAGACTATGGATGCTGAGGAGGATAAGTATGATGATGCTGACGATGATGTTGGTAATGATGATGCTTAGGAGGAGGATTCATGGCGGCGCTGATGCTGGTGACGACGACGATGATGACGATGATGCTGGTGATGATGGTGATGGTGATGCTGATTACGATGGTGATGGTGATGCTGCTGGTCATGGTCATGGTGGTGCTAATGGTGACGGTTACGGTGACGTTGAAGACGATGACGACGAAGCGGATGAGGTCAACGACGACGACGAGAACGACGCAAGCGAGGATGGCGAAGACGACGACGGTGATGATGCTAATGCGAAGTAGTTGCAGGAGGAGTAGAAGGAGGATGAGGAGGAGAGACAGGAGGAGAAGGAGGAGGAGGAGGTGGAGGAGGAGGAGGAGAAAGTTTCAGACCGCGCTGGCAGCAGCCGGGACAAGGGACCGAACCGGGAGAGCAGCTTGTCGGTGTTCTCGCGCAATACCTGACCTCCTACATGTCCCGCCCATCCCTTCCCAGTGCACCGAATGATATCAGGAGGAAAAACACACAGACACTATTAATCGTCGACTCCCAGGGAAAGATGGGAAAATATGGGAAATGGGGGGGGGGCGACGGACAACCAAAAGATATTGAGAATCCTGGGATTTGGTTATATTTATTTGTGTCCCTGGGCTCCTCTATGATATTCTATCCATGGGAAGGTGCCCTCGAGGACACTGATCCCCCAAACGACCCCGTCGTGTGATTTGCTCACTCGTAGCGGGGGGGGGCCTTTGTACATCGGGAGAAGGGGAGGAGGAGGAGGAGGAGGAGGAGGAGGAGGAGGAGGAGGAGGAGGAGGAGGAGAGGAGAGGAGGAGGAGGAGGAGGAGGAGGAGAAGGAGGGAGGAGGAGGAGGAGGAGGAGGAGGAGGAGGAGGAGGAGGGAGGAGGAGGAGGAGGAGGAGGAGGGGGGGGAGGGGGAGGAGGAGGAGGAGGAGCAGCAGGAGGAGGAGGAGGAGGAGGAGGAAGAGGAAGAGGAAGAGGCGGAGGAGGATGCGGGGAGGAGGGGGAGGAGGAGGAGGAGGAGGAGGGGAGGAGAGGAGGAGGAGGAGGGAGGAGGTGGAGGGGGGAGGGGGAGGAGGGGAGGATGGAGGAGTGGAGGAGGAGAAGAGGAGGGAGGAGGAGGAGGAGGAGGAGGAAGGAGCAGGAGGGGGAGTTGGAGGGGGAGGAGGGGCGAGGAGAGAGGAGGAGGAGGAGGAGAGGAGGAGGAGAGGAGGAGGAGGAGAGGAGGAGGAAAAAAAAGGGAGGAGGAGAAAGGAGGAGAGGAGGAGGAGGAGGAGGAAGAGGAGAATGGGGAGGAGGAGGGATGAGGTCAGTAGGAGGACGACACGTAGGAGGAGGAGGAGGAGGAGGAGGAGGAGGAGGAGCAGGAGCAGGAGCAGGAGCAGGAGCAGGAGCAGAGAAGGAGCAGGAGCAGGAGCAGGAGGAGAATGAGGAGGGGGGGAGGAGGAGGAGGAGGAGGAGGGAGGAGGAGGCAGGAGGAGGAGGAGGATGAGGAGGGAGGAGGAGGAGGAGGAGGAGGCGGAGGCGGAGGAGGAGGAGGAGGAGGAGGAGGAGGAGGAGGAGGAGGTGGCAGATGAGCAGGAGGTGGGGACTACGGGGTTGTGGATACCTTTGCCAGGGCCGCTCTTCTTCTGTTCGTGCATCCCTCCCCTCCCGTCCCCCCTACCAGCCCGCGCGCGGGCATCGCCTTGAGCGAATCCGAAGGGACCAGTCGGGAACATGACCGAAAAGGGAAGTCTTCGGCAGCCGGGACACAGGGCCGAGCCTGGAATATGTTGGAGCAGGGCCAGCCAAGGAGATCCTTGGCAGCCAGGGGACATCTTTGCAAAAACGAGGTAATTGAAAGCCTTTCCAGCGCGAGCATGGTAGTGTGTCGCGCATACCTGTTGTGTTTTTTCACGGCCAATTGCTTTCCACAAGTGGCGCGTTGGCCGTGCTTGCGTTTGTTTGTTTGTTTGTGTGTGTGTGTGTTTGTGTTTATGTGTGTGTGTGTGTTTGTGTGTCTGTGTGTCTGTGTGTCTGTGTGTCTGTGTCTATGTGTGCATACACCTATCTGTAAGCGACTCGGTCCAAGACGCTTGCTGCCGGGCCGGGGGAAGTGCCACGTACCGTGCAGACGGGGCGTCATGGAAGGATCGCCCCAGCCTGAGCGTGATGCCCTCCGCTCGGCCGTGCACGACGAGCTGATCGATCTCCTCGTGGAGGGCGGGTACATGCGCAACGCCATGCGAAGCGAGGTGGAGGCCGCCCTGTGGCGCTGGAGCCAAGCGAGCAAGAGGTCCGTGCCGGAGCATTCGAAGCGCGTGGAGACCAGCGATTGTGCGGGGCAGGCGCTGGCTTCCAGGGCTGGGCCTCGGGCGCCCTCGAATCCAAAGGAGACGCCTCCAGAGGCCTCCAGCGGGGCGGGGTGAGGAAGAGGAGGAGGAGGAGGAGGAGGAGGAGGAGGAGGAGGAGGAGGAGGAGGAGGAGGAGGAGGAGGAGGAGGAGGAGGAGGAGGAGGAGGAGGAGGAGGAGGAGGAGGAGGGGAGGAGGAGGAGGAGGAGGAGGAGGCGGAGGAGGAGGAGGAGGAGGAGGAGGGGAGGAGGAGGAGGAGGAGGAGGAGGAGGAGGAGGAGGAGGAGGAGGAGGAGGAGGAGGAGGAGGAGGGAGGAAGGAGGAGGAGGAGGGGGGGGGGGGGGGGGGGGGAGGGGGGGAGGAGGAGGAGGAGGAGAGGAGGAGGAGGAGGAGCAGGAGGAGGAGGAGGAGGAGGAGGAAGGGGGGGGGACAAGCTAGGTGCGCTCGCGTCATATCTGACATCCTACCCCTCCCTCCCATCCCTTACCATGGCGTAGATCCCCTCTCTACTCGCACAGTCGGATGTCGAGCAGGGCAATGATCCCGAAAGGGTACGCGATGCATTGTAGAGCACGGCATGGCATGGCGTAGAAGAGCACCGCAAAGCGTAGTATGTCACAGCATGGCGTGGCGTGGCGTAGTGAAGAATTGCATCACAAAGCTTTGCAACGCAAAGCATGGCATCGCACAGCGGCCCCGAACATAACATTGCATAGCATGGCGTTGAAGATCAAAGCGTAGCATGGCATAGCACGACGTGGCACTTAAGCACTGCATATCACAGCTTCAGCTGAAGGCATGGCATCGCGCAGCGGAGCGCAACCTAGAATTGCATTGCATGCCGTGGCATGGCACGGGAAATGACGCCAGCGCTGCAGCGGGAGCACGATTCGGAACGAGCGGAAGCGCAGAAATGAGGCCAGCGCTGCAGCGGGAGCACGATTCGGAACGAGCGGAAGCACGGAAATGAGGCCAGCGCTGCAGCGGGAGCACGATTCGGAACGAGCGGAAGCCCGAAAATGAAGCCCGCGCCTCAGCGAGAGCATCATTTTGAAAAAAACCCAAGCGAAAACCCAATTCCGGGAAATCTTGTGTGTAAAAAAGTGCGCGGAGGGGTGCCCGCTATCTTCCGCGCCATCAGGGGATGGAGGAGAGTAGTATTCATATTGTGCAATTGTGGAGGAGGAGGATTGAGGAGGAGGATCGAGGAGGAGGATTGAGGAGGAGGATCGAGGAGGAGGAGGAGGAGGAGGATGGAGGAGGAGGAGGCGGGGGAAGAGGAGGAGGAGGAGGAGGCAAAAGGGAGGATGGAGGAGGAGGAGGAGGAGGAGGAGGAGGAGGACCAGTGTAAACCCAATATTCATCAACGATGTTGAAATACACCCTCCCTCGAAGATCCCTCTTCACAGGCCCCTACATAGGGGCATTTCCACTGGGGTACGGTACTTGCCCCGTTTGGGGACAAGTGTGAGCATTTTGTAGCGTGCCCAAACACCGTTCGCAGGACTTAGCGCAACGAGTTACCCTGATTGTTACGTCTTGGCGACCCTGAATCGTACCAGAACGCTATTCTTGGGACTTCAACACCCCGAATCCATGTAACTGTTGATCTCTGACAATCCTGAACCGCTCCAGAACACCATTTCTGGTGCCCTAACCATAAGAAGCAGTAAACCTTTTGCAAATGTTTTAAGCGAGTGCGCGCGGCGCTAAGGCGGGAACCACATTTTGAAAAGGAATCGCCTTCAAGCCGCGAAACTTCGCATTTGTTTAAACGAGTGCGCGCGGCGCTGATACGAGAACCACATTGTGAAAAGAAAGCGCCCTCAATCCGTGAAGCTCCTGCAAATGTTTGAAATAAATGTGCGCGGCGCTAACGCGAGAGTCACATTTTGAAAACAGCCCGCCCTCAGTCCGTGAAGCTCTTGTAATTTTTCGAAATGAGCGTTCGCGGCGCGAACTCGGGGGCCACATTTTGAAAAGGAACCGCCCTCAGTCCGCGAAACTCTTTGCGATCTGTTTAAACGAATGTGCGCGGAGCTAAGGCAAGAACCATATTTTGAAAACGACCCGCCCTGCGAAGAGCTTGCAAATGGTGTGAAATTGCTGCCAATGTTAAAGTATCAGGGTCGTAAGTGGTGAGGAAATCTCAGGCGAAACGCCCAGCCCGCCCTTTCGACCGGCCCCGGTGTGCGACGTGGAGGAATTATGGAATTAGTCATAAGGGAAATGAATGGAGATGGAGGAGGAGGAGGAGGAGGAGGAGTATGGAAGAGGAGGAGGACCCCTGTAAACCTAAGATTCATCAGCGGTGTTGAAATACACCCTCTTTCGAAGATCCCTCTCCATTGGCCCCTGCACGGGGTCATTTCCACTGGGGTAAATGCCCCGTTGGGGGACAACCGTGCAAACATCTTGAAGCGTGCCAGGACACCATTCTCAGGCCTTCAACCTCACGAATTGACCTGACTGAACGTCTTGGCAATCCTGAGTCGCGCTAGAACACCATTCCTGGGACTTCAACACCGCAAAGCAATGTAACTGCTGCGCCCTGACAATCCTGAATTGTTCCGAAATGCAGTGGGTGGTACGTTAACCATGAAAGCAACGAAACTCTTGTAAATGTTTGAAACGAATATGCGCGGTGGTGCTGCGAGAGCCACATTTCGAAAAGGAACTGCCCTCAATCCTTAAAGCCCTTGCAAACTGTTTGTGCAAGGCGCTCAGGCGAGACACACATTTTGAAAACGGCCCGCCCTCAATCCGCCAAGTTCTTGCACTTTCTATCGAAGATGCGCGGCGCTAAGACGAGAGCCACATTTTGAAAAGGAACTGCCCTCAGTCTGTGAAGCTCTTGCAAATTTCTCCAACGAGTGCGCGCGGCGCTGAGGCGATAGCCACATTTTGAAAACGGCCCGCCATAAATCCGCGAAGCTCTTCCAATTTTGTGTCACGACTGTGCGCGGCGCTCAGGCGAGAGCCACATTTTGAAAAGGAACCGCCATCAACCCATAAAACCTATTGCAAATTATTAAAATGAATTTGCGCAGCGCTAAGGCAAGAGCCACATTTTGAAAACGACCCGGCCTCAATCCGCGAAACTCTTGCAATTTGTTAGAACGAATGTGCGTGGCGCTAAAGCGAGAGGCACATTTTGAAGTCCACCCGCCCTCTTGTTGCCAATTTTAAAGCATCAGGGTCATAAGTGGTGAGGAAATCTGAGGCTAAACGCCGGGCCCGCCCTTTTGACTGGCCTCGGGGTGCGACAAGGAGGAGTTATCTATACGGAAAAGGAATGGAGGAGGAGGAGGAGGAGGAGGAGCAGGAGGAGGAGGAGCAAACCATTTGCGGAAACTCCATCCCCCGCACCTGCCCGCGCGCTCCCCGTGGCGTACTCCCCGTGGGCTTGCCCCGCCGCCCCCATGCCGCGTCAGCCGCAGCACAGTGGCAGCTGGGCAGCGGCCACGGGTGGTGACACAAACCTACGTTTTCGGAAGTACAGGCTGCGAGACCAGATCGGGTCTGCCTGTGCCTCGGCCACTACGCGCCGCGGCGCAGGGGGCAGACTGCCGGACCAGGCGCGAAGTGCAGGCTGATTGTCGGGACCTTGCCCACCTCGTGAACGCGGCGCTGCGCAACCAGGTTCAGCGCGACGTCAACCAACGGACAACCCAGTGTTCGATGGGCTGCCAAGCGGCACGACACAAGGGCTCGGTTCTCGGAGCGCCCCCCCCAGAGTGCCGATACATCTTCGTCGAGGTGCCAGGCACCTCGTCGATGAGCTTCCACATCCACAGCCACGATCACCAGGAGTGCGACCACCTGGACGGCGGCGAAAGGGACTACTACGACTGCGACGCCTCGTGCTTGCTGGAGCTCCTCGCGGCGCCAAAATTGCTGGCGACGACGTTGGAGAGGCGCCATTGGCCGCGCTTGCGGGGCCTCCGCTCTTCCAACCAGCTTGCAGAGAACGCTCCCAGACGACTCGGCGTTCGAAGGCCACTCCGGCTAGGAGGGCGACTAAAAGAGCCCATGTCCTCTAGACGGCGCCTCGCCGCTTCGGTGGGCGTAGGCGGGCCGCGGCCGCCACACTCGTACAGCGGGGCCACGGGGTCCCCGGCACCGCGCTCGCGGCCAGCGTGCCGCTGGGGTCGGAATGCCAGGGGCGCGCCAGGCCCTGCGGAGTCTGCCAGTGATGGTGGCGTCCATGGCGGCGGGGCCTGGATTGAGAAAGGGGCCGCGCTCCTGCTGGCGTGCGGCCGGGCCGAGGTGTAAGAGCGAGGTCGGCTCGGGGAGGGTGCCCTAGTGTTCTTCGTGTATGCTGGCTGTTCTAGTGCTAGGGGGCCAGATGCGAACCCTACCCCTACCCCCCACGACTACTGAGGGGGAGGGTAGGGGTAGGGTTCGCAGGTGGCCCTCTAAGTGCATCCTGAAGTGGAGGGTTTCTCCGAAGGGCTTAGGCGACCCGTCCTCCTCCCGTCTCTTCTTCATCCTCCTCCTCCTCGTCCTCCTCCTCCTCCTCCTCATCTTCCTTACTCCGTCCCCCTCCTCTTCCTCCTCCTCTCTCCTCCTCCTTCTCCTCTCCTCCTCCCTTCCTCCTCCTCCTCCCCCTCCCCCTCTTCCTCCTCTTCCTCCTCCGCATCCTCCTCCTCCTCCTCCTCCTCATCTTCCCCCTCCCCGCCCTCCCCTCCTCGGGTCGCCCACGGCCCTTGGGGAAACCGTCCATCCTGGAGAGGTACCCTTGGATGTTCTGTTTGTTTAGGCCGACGGAGGCCATCGGAGGGCCTGCGGAATCTGTTGGTGCTGATGGCGCCCATGGCGGCGTGGCTAGTATGGGTGGCCACATGTGAACCCTACTCGCGTCCCCCACGATTTCTATGGGGTCGCTCGGATCGGGCCGCTCTCTTGCGGAAGCAGCTGCTGGCAGGGGGCGGTGCTGCTCCTGGGGCAGGGTTGGAATTGACCGACGCCCTTTTAGAGCCCGAAGGCCAGGGCGCGTTAGCACCTGCGGAGGCTGCTTCTGCTGCCGATGATGATGTCATCGGCGCGGGCGTGGAGGAGAGCCGTGTTCTGGACCCGCTGACGCCGCCCCTAACGTGGACATCCAGTGCAATGTGCCGCTACATCCGGCAGGAGGCTGCCGACGGAGCGCGGATCGACTTCATCGACAGGAGCGCGCTTGGCAGGCCTGGTCTCGTCGTCAAGGCAGAGGGCGCTGTCGCCGTCGCCAAGGCCGCGGAGCTGGTCAACGATCCCTTCGCAGACAGCTTAGCCCTTGCGCGTGGGATGCGCTGGGACAAAGGCGACGAGGACGATGACGCCATCAGCGTCGACGGGGCAGCGGGCCGAGGCGACCGCAGGCTCTGTCCGCTGCGACCTGCCCGCTGCTCAGAGAGGGCCCATGGAGGCCGACGAGACCGAGCGCGAAAGCGACGACGTCGACGACGACGACGACGCCATCGCCATGAACAGTTTGTGGACCTCCATTGCAGCGGGCCGCCCCAGGAGGCGAAACGGCCAGCTTTCGGCGGAAGGGAGAGGGCGCCGATGGAACCCGCGTTCAGTTCCGCAGCAGGGACGCGCGCGGCCGGCCCGCGCTTGTCAACTCGAAGGGCGAAGATGGCGCTGGGCGGGCGACGTCGATGACGACGAAGGTTGCTTCGCGTCGCTCGGACGTGGGCATTGTTCCCCGGCGAGGACCACGGAGGACCATATCCGGGATCACCCCTTCCCTTTTTTTTTGGCCCCATTTTGTCTTTTTTTCTTGGTTGGCCAAGATAGCTAGATGCATGAAAACCGACAAAGCAGAGGTAGTGGACGTCCGAGCGCTGGCCGAGGTGAGGGCTGGAGGGTTTCTCCAGAAGGGCTTCGTCGGACCCGTCCCATTCCCTCCTCACCCCCCCATCCCCGTCCACCTCCTTCCACCCCCTCCTATTTCCTTCCTCCTCCCTCCTCCCTCCTCATCTACGCACTCCTTCCCCTTCTACCTCCCCTCATCCAGCCTCCTCCTCCTCCTCCTCCCATCCCCTCCCTCATCCTCCTCCGTTCTGCCTCCTCCTCGTGCCCCCTCTCTCCTCCTCATCATCCCTCCCACCCCCATCATTCCTCCTCCGGCCCTCCTAATCATAATACTCCTATCATCCTCCTCCCTCAGCCTCCTCCTCCTTCATCCTCCGCCGCCTCCTCCTCACTCCTACTCAAGCCCCCAATCCCCCTCCCCCCCTCAGCTCATCCTCCTAGTCCTCATACTACTCCTCTCTTCTCCTACCTCCCATCCTCCTCCTCCTCCTCTTCCTCCTCCTCCTCCTCCTCCTCCTCCTCCCCCTCCTCCTCGGGTCGCCTACGGCCCCGGGGGAAACCGTCCAGGTGGGGCATATGGCGCTCGCGCCTGTCTGCGCCGAGCGTGGGGGGGGAGAGACCCCGTCGTGCCGCCGCCGCACCGGGAACCCGTCTGGGCCGCGAGGGCCCCGACCGGCATCCGCCGGCAGGCCCCGCATGCGCGCTGTGCAACACTGTAACACGGCTGTGTTTGTTGGCTTGTTCCAGTGCTTGGACAAAAAGTGTCCACACCCACGGCGGCGAGGCGATACCCCTTCCCCCCAAACCTAAAGCTGAAGTGTTAACGTTTTGTCCCTGGCCTTTGGCCCACCGCCCACACCCGTCGTCAACTTTGCATTTGGGGGAGGGTCTACATTTTGGTCCGACACGTTTTGACAACTCAAGGTCTTGGCGAGAGACGCGTGGACTTTGTCAGTCCACCCACCGTCGCCCAGGTCTCGCAGTACGTGTGCATGCGAGGCCGCGCGGGGATTCTGCGCTGCCTGCTCGCGTGCGCAGGCAGTGCAGATGCCTTCGAGGTCCTCTCCTATTCCGGCTGCGGTGGTGCCCCCCCCCTCGAGCACCCGTGCAGCAACGGCGCGCTGGGGGGGGGCTGCTGCTTCCTCGGCTTGCCGCCCGCGGGCGTCCTGTGGGGGCTGGCGGCGGGCGCGCGCCGTCGGGCGCCGTGCCCCGCGCGGGGGCCCGGCTGCGCCACGGCGGAGGCGGGCCCGCGACGACAGCCACGACGGCGGCGCTCGGACGGCGGACAGGGCGACCGTCGGCACCACGGAGGACGGCTCCCTCCCGGACGTTCGGGCCGATGTGGGGGCGCAGGCGTCGGCTTTGTGCGTCGAGGGGCAGATATGGGTCAGGCGGTTGATCTGCAGGCGTGGCTGCTGGAAACGGTTCCGGAGCTCGGACCTTTGCGCGGCGGGCGCTTTTGCGGTGCTTCATCGTCGCTGGCGCCCAGGGACAGGGCACGCAGCCGGAGGTCCAGCGGCGAGCCAGTCCAGCCGTCTCGACCGTCGTTTCGCGCGGCCCCCTGCGCGCCAGCCCTGTCCAGCCTCCAAGAGCACCCCGAGCGATGGAAATACCGCCGATAATTCCGTCGCCCGCCGCTGCGGCACCGCCTGGCGCGTCGTCCCATTGAGGAGCGGGCGGGGCCGTGGACGTCAGCGCAGGCCTGCCCCGCTTTCTGTGCAGTGCCACGCCGATTCCAGCTGCTCGTTGTGGGTCTCGGAGGTCGCCAGGCGCTGGCGACGCCAGCTGCTTGAGCTTCGCCGCAGGATCTCGTTGCCTGCTGCATAGGCGCGCCCTGCCAGTCGGGGCGTCGTTGAGGGGCGGGCGGGGCCGCGAGCGCCAACTCCAGCGAATCAGTCTCACAGGGAGCCGGCGGCTGCCCCAGGGAGCTGTTGGCTGCCTGCGGCCAAGGCGTTGGAATCAGGATCGGGTTCGAACGTGGCTACAGTTGTAGCTCCTTCCCTGGTCGTTCCTCCAGCGCCCCTCGCGCGACTGGGCGCTTGCGGGGCCCCAGAGGGTTTCGTGCCTCATTTGGCGTGCCATATGTGGTAGTACAGTCAACCATGATAGTAAGGATGGGGCAACTTTCCAAGGCTACCCTTGCATCTTTGTCCCTTCGGTATTCAGCATCCTTCGGCATTCTGCTGCGCTCCGCACGGAAAACGTCAACGTGGCGTTCCAAGGCCCCTGCATCCTTGCCGCGCATCCTAACTATCCTGGTCGAGTGTAGTTCGGCTGCCTGCTGCAGCCGCTGGAGGCCCCTGGCATCGGGGGATCCGCCTCGCGAGCTCCCGAGGCCTCGCATCTGCTGGCTGCTCCGACGAGTCGGGGCGAGATTCAGGAGGGGAGACAACACATAGACACAATTAGTCGTCGATCCCAAGGAAAATTTGGAAGTGGGGGGGAAGACGAAAATCCAAAACCTATGGGAAAATGTGGGGAATCCTGCTACTTGTGTGTTTTTATTTGTGTGTCCCGGGGCCCCTTAGGGATGTCCGAAGGGTTACTCGGTCTTCCAGGTTTCCCCCCCCGGCCCCGCAAGCACGATTCGGACATGCCCGCCAGCGTGTTGTTCGCCGTCGGGGGGCTCGCGGCACGCGGGCTCTGCACCTTCTCGGGGGCCGTTTTGGCCGCCCCTTCGCTGGCACCGCGCGGCAGGAAATTCGAGCAGATGCCTGTCAGGAGGGGAGAAAACGCACAGACACAGTGAATCGTCGATTCCCAAGAAAGTATTGGAAAATATGGGAAGTGTGGGGGGAGACGAAAACCCCGAATATGTATATATATATATATATGTGAAAATATGGGGAATCCTGTTACTTGTGTTTATTTATGTGTGTGTCCCAGGGCCCCTTCAGTCTGGTTGCTGATCCAGACGCCCCCACCTCGACTTCTGCTTCTGTTCACCGTCTTGCCACAGTTTCTTCTTGTCTTTGTTGTTGCCGGTTGCTCGGCTCCCGCGTTTGTGTCTCGGCGTCGCCCGCGGGAAGCGGGGCGGCGCGGGGCGCGGAAGTGGCTGCCGAGCGCCCCCCCCGCTTTTTTTCAGGTGACAATTTTTGGTCTTTCTCGCCTTCGTCCGCCTCTGTGTGGCGCAGTGTTGGACGGCATCTCTGGGGTCCCACCACCGCTGCTATGATGGGTGGTTGTGGGGTGGCTGGCGTTTGTCAGTGGTGAACCGCCGAGCGAAACCTCGAGAGTTCGAGCGAGCAAAGCAGCCGCGGCGGCTTGACTTCGCGCGCGCATCGCTCCGCGCGTAGGATAAAGTTGTTTCATCTTGCCCATGGCGCGCCTGCGACAGGCGTATAAACATGGCGGCGCCGACCTCGCACGTCACATGGCAGTACGTATTACGACAGTAGAATCACGAACAGCAATGCGAATCATGTTCTTACAGGAACCGTCAGTACTTGAGAATTGCAAGCAGCAGGACAACACATCGTATTGAGAACAGTGATGCTCACGTACGGGTGCTGCCAGAGTAATGGCACGAAGTCCTGGAGGAACACGAAAACAGATAGTTCGCACCGTGAAAGTATCAACTCCAATGGTATCAATAGGTATACGGTTATCCTTGGTCACAACACACAGTAATATCATGAAGGGCAGGAGGAGGGAAAGAGGAGGAGGAGCAGGAGGGGCAGGAGGGAATGGGAAGGATGATGATGATGATGATGATGATGATGATGATGATGATGATGATGATGGTGATGATGGTGATGATGGTGATGATGGTGATGATGGTGATGGTGATGATGATGGTGCTGGTGATGATGATGATGATGATGATGATGATGAGGAGGAGGAGGAGGAGGAGGAGGAGGAGGAGGAGGGAGGGAGAAAGGAAGGAAGGGGAGGAGGAACAGCAGGAAGAGGAAGCAGCCGGAGGACGAGGAATTTAACCCCAGGCGCCCTCGGCACCAGGCAGTGGCGTCGACATCGGCACACAGCCGCACAAGGTTCCGCAGGAAGACTCTGCTCACCACCGCTCTGTCTGGCCAGGGACATCCTGGGCTTCAGGGGGGGCGCGGAAGAGGAGGGAGGAGGAGGGAGGAGGTGGAGGAGGAGGAGAGTGGAGGAGAAGGAGGAGGAGGAGAGGAGGAGGAGGCGGAGGCGGAGGGGAGGCGGAGGCGGAGGCGGAGGCGGAGGCGGAGGCGGAGGCGGAGGGCGGAGGCGGAGGCGGAGGAGGAGAGGAGGAGGAGAGGAGGAGGAGGAAGAGGCGGAGCGAGCCAAAGCAGGAGCAGGAGCAGGACTAGGAGCAGGAGCAGGAGAAGGAAGAGGAGGAGGCGGAGGAGGCGGAGGAGGAGGAGGAGGAGGAGGAGAGGAGGAGGAGGAGGCGGAGTAGGAGGAGGAGGATGATGATGAGATGATGATGAGAGGAGGAGGAGGAGGAGGACGAGGAGGAGGGGAGGAGGACGAGGAGGAGGAGGGAGGACGAGGAGGAGGAGGAGGAGGAGGAGGAGGAGGAGGAGGAGGAGGCTTGGCGCTGATTCAACCGAGTGCGCTTCCAGAGGGCTTCGTCATTGCGCGTGCTGAATAGAAGTTCGAGGTTTGCTTCCCCTCCCCTGCCACCCTCGGGCTGGCTTCTCCTTCCTGCCTCGTTTTCTACTTGATTCGTTATTCTACCTCGTGGTCGTGGGGCGCTTCCTTCTGCTTCGCGATCGCGGGACGCTTCGCTCTTCTGCTTCGCAGTCGTGCTGCGTCCGGTTTTCAGCGCCCGCCGCCGCGCGGATGCCACCCTCAAGTTGATTCCCGGTTGCTGCTGTTAGGGCGTGCCGGCCTATTCGATATCGCATGCTTCTGAAAAGCTTGCGGGGAATTTCTGCCTGGCGCCCCCTCTTCGCAAGGGGTTCAACGGAGACGCGATAGCTTGCGCCACATATTCCTGTCCACTGTTCATGACGACCTGTTTGCGCAATGCTTCTGAGGACATGTTTCCCCAGCGCGAGTCCGACTCCAGGGCCATTGCTGATTTTCGAGGCCGCGCCTGTGAACCCCGTTCTGAGTGCCGCGTGTTCCCCCCTCCCTCCCATTCTTTGCCCTGCATACCCTGTCTCGGCAAGACGAAGTTCAATCTAATTTTTGTCACAATTCCGTGCGATACCGACAGTTGTCGCTCGAGGGCGCCATTTGCGCATCAAGTCCCTCGTCGTCCTCTTCCTCCTCCTCCTCCTCCTCTTCCCCCCCCCTCCATTCCTCTCCTCCTTCCCCCGCGTAGTGTTGACATGCATAACGCAAGGGCCGTTGACCGAATCCTTGCCCCGAGGGCTGCTCACTAAATGTTTGCCCCTGCGCGTGTACCACATGCTTTCATCGCGTGGTAGGGTGAGCGAGCTGGGGGTTCCATCGCGCTGTCCGCCCCCATCTTCCCCCACCAAAACACAGCCATGCGCGAGTGCCCCTACGCGCATGTTGCCGGGAAGTTGCGCTGACTGCTGCCCCGTCGTCGTCGTCGTCGTCGTCGTCGTCGTCGTCGTCGTCGTCCGCCCCCGTCGGCCAAAACCCGATTGAAATGGGGCCCCGGAACCCTCCCGGGGCCCGTGCGCACCAGTTTTCCGCGCCGCGTCCGGCCGTGGCGACGAGGAGAGCCACCAGGGGCCAGAGGATCTCGGTCTTCGAGGCTCGAGGCTCGAACCTGGACGTGAACGCCGACCCGACCCAGTCGGTTATCGGGCCATAATTCGGTCTCGGGGACTCTGGTGGCCGTTCGGCATGAATCCGGCACCCCCGGGGTGCAGTTTGTCGTTCCGGATCGATTTCTGACGGTCTTGGGCCCCGAAAATGGCCCCCACAGGCTACGACGCCGGAAACCCGCCTCGGACTTCGAACCTCAGGGGTCGACGAAAATAGCTGGCGTCATCGGAGACGCGGCCATCTCGTCCACCACAGCGGCGGCAGCCCAACTCCGCTGGTTTCAGGCGGCGGGCGCGCGCGCGGCCCTCCCGAGCTCAGCCCGCGCGCCGCTTCCGCGCAGGCGTCTTCGTAGGATTTGAAGCGTCTTCGGCGCTGGGAACGGGAGGGGAGGTTCGAACCTCGAGGATCGAGGTTTGAAGAGTTTTTTGTCGTTCTACGCCTCTGGACGCCGCTTTCGGGCCCCGGGATCGTCGAAAATCGATCCAGGGTGAAAAACTGCTTCGGAGGGGGCCCTGGGAAGGGCCCGGGGGCCGATTTTAATTTGATTTCGGTCATCCTGGGGGGAGGAGGGGGAGGACGACGAAGAGGACGAGGACGAGGAGGACGAGGAGGGCGAGGGTTGGAAATGACGGGGCGCCCCCGTAAATTGACCCGGTTCGTTCGAATGTGTTTCGCAGATCTTATTGGGAATTTCGTTCAAATTAAACTCCGACCCTCCATCCCTCCAGGCTCCGCCGCAGGCGCCCGGAGAAGAATATTTTCAAATTGCGGCCGTGCCCCCATTTTTGAAGCATGCCCCTTTGCGTCGCCCGGGGCCCCCCAGGAATCCCAGGGGCCCAGACGGATTCTGTTGGTTTGTGGAAGATCTTTCGAACCCTCCATCCTGGAGGATTCCTTCATGGGCGCTCTCTTGGGGCCGCTTCCAATCAGCGGATGGCACCTCCAACGACGCGCATGCGCGCGCGCGTGGCGCGTGCTCGCTACTGATGAAGGGCCCCCCCCCCCCGACGGGATCTCCCAAGTGCGGCGGCAACGGGCCCGTCGTGGACAAATGCGCAAAAACGATATGTCGTCGCCCGGGCCATTTTTTAATCGGTCAAATGAGCTGTGCGATGTGCGATATGCTCGCCGTGGACAGCTCACTTCAAGCGCGCGTGGCACGCAATATTTTTGGCGCGACGGCGACGGGGGGGGGGGCACACACATGCGCAGCACAAATCACGCAGGCTGGCCAACGGTGCGACAGCGACCGGCGGGGCCGCGACAGATGGACCTTCCATTTGTTTCCGAAACTCTCCGCGCGGTGCGACGGCGACGGGGGGGGCAGACAGATGCCCTGTACATGGAATGCTTGAATTCAGTTTGTGGAATTACATGTCGACAGTTCTATAGTGGACAATGCAAAAACTCTGTCGCGTGCGCGCGCGTCTGACTTTTGCATTGCCCACGCTAGACAAGTGGACGCGTCCGTCGGCCTCCTTAAAAAGCCACAGGCATTTTGAATTCAGTTTTTGGAAATACACGTCGACTTTTCATTGTGGACAATACAGAACTCTGTCGCGCGGGCGCGCGTCTGAGTTCTGTATTGTCCACGCCAGAAAAATCGTCGCGTCCGTCGGCCTCCTTAGAGAGCCACAGAAATGTTGAATTCATTTTTTTGGAATTACATGCCGATTATGCTAATGTGGACAATGCAGAACTCTGTCGCGCGCGCGCGTCTGAGTTCTGCATTGTCCACAATAGAAGAGTCGACGCGTCCGTCGGCCTCCTTAAAGAGCCACAGGAATTTTGAATTCAGTTTTTGGGATCACATGCCGATTTTGCGATTGTGGACAATACAGAACTCTGTCGCGCGCGCGCGCGTCTGAGTTCTGTATTGTCCACACTAGAAAAGTCGACGCGTCCGCCGGCCTCCTTGAAGAGCCACAGAAATTTTGAGTTCTGTTTTTGGCATTACATGTCACCTAGTCTATTGTGGACAGTACAGAACTCTCGCGCGCGTCTGAGTTCTGTATTGTCCACACTAGAAAAGTCTACGCGTCCGTCCGCCTCCTTAGAGAACCACAGAAATTTTGAATTCAGCGTTTGGAAATACATGTCGACTATGCTAATGTGGACGATTCAGAAGTCTGTCGCGCGCGCGCGTCTGAGTTCTGTACTGTCCACAATAGAAAAGTCGACGCGTCCGTCGGCCTCCTGGAAGAGCCACAGAAAGTTTGAATTCAGTTTTTGGAATTACATGTCGACCATGCTAATGGGGACAATACAAGAACTCTGTCGCGCGCGCGTCGGAGTTCTGCATTGTCCACACTAGAAAAGTCGATGCGTCCGCCGGCCTCCTCAAAGAGCCACATAAATTTTGAATTCTGTTTTTGGAGATACATGTCACCTGGTCTATTGTGAACAATGCAGAACTCCGTCGCGCGCGCGCGCGTCTGAGTTCTGTATTGTCCGCAACAGAAAAGTCGACGCGTCCGTCGGCCTCCTTAAAGAGCCACATAAATTTTGAATTCTGTTTTTGGAATTACATGTCGACTGTGCTATTGTGGAGAATTCAGAACTCTGTCGCGCGCGCGCGCGTCTGAGTTATACGCACTAGAAAAGTCGACGCGCCCGCCGGCCTCCTCAAAGAGCCACCGAATTTTTGAATTTAGTTTTTGGAATTACATGCAGACTTTTATATTCTGGACAACAAAGGACTCTGTCGCGCGCGCGCGTCTGAGTTCTGTATTGTCCACGCTCGAAATGTGGACGCGTCCGTCGGCCTCCTTCAAAGAGCCACAGAAATTTTGAACTCAGTTTTTGGAGATTCATGTCACCTATTCTATTGTGGACAATACAGAACTCTGTCTCGCGCGCGCGTCTGAGTTCTGCATTGCCCACAATAGAAAAGTCGACGCGTCCGTCGGCCTCCTTATAGAGCCACATTCTTTTTTGGCACATGTCAACTGTGCGAATGTGGACTATACAGAACTCTGTCGCGACCTAGAAAAGTCGACGCGACCGCCGGCCTCCTCAAAGAGCCACAGAATATTTGAATCCAGTTTTTGGAATCACATGTCGGCTTTTATATTGTGGACAATACAGAACTCTATCGCGCGCGCGTCTGAATTCTGTAGCGTCCTCACTAGAAATGTGGGCGCGTCCGTCGGCCTCCTTAAAGAGCCACAACACATTTGGAATTCAGGTTTTGGATTCACATGTCGACTTTGCTATTGTGGACAATACAGAACTCTGTCGCGCGCGCGCGTCTGGGTTCTGCATTGCCCACACTAGAACAGTCGACGCGTCCGTCGGCCTCCTCACAGAGCCACCGGAATTTGGA